TTTCATCAATTTGTGGATCATCTCGCTCTATTAGGTTGATGTCAAAAACGTGGTTTGGATATGGATCGGGGAAATTCCCCACTTCTTTGTTTTTTCAATTAAAGTTTAAATCCTAATTTCTGTCTCTAAAATACAATTCTATATTGATCTCTCAAACTTCAAAATATTCTTTTTTTCTTTGAGCTTTTCAAATTTGTTTCATTTTAAAAATGTATATTTTAGTCTCTAGCTTTTTTAAAACGGCCTTTTTTTGTCATCATTTTCCTTTTGCTCCTAACAAACTAATAATGTAACTCCAAAACACGTATTAATATGTTAACATAGGTATATATTAAAGTCATCTAGGTTGGTTGGGTGACTCATTAGCCAAGCATGACAGAATAATATGAACCAATAAAATTGTTAGTTCTTTACCCTTCAATTAACTAAAATAGAAATTTTGAAACTTTATAAATGAAATAGTTATTTTTTATGTTTATAACTAAAAATATATATTTTGAAAGTTTTAAACAATTGGAACAAATTTAGAAATTTAGAGATCAAAATATAATTTAAGTATTTTATTAGTTCTTTTATAATTAAATACTAAAAGCATATATATGAAATACACATTCTTAAGCTAAAATGTAGATAAAGCTAATTTACAGGTTGTTGTTTATTATATATAATCGATAATGTATATTTTATATTTTATATGGATGAATGAATATGAAATTAGTAGTAGATATCATTATAATTATATATTATTTTTGGATAATTTTGAAGTTTATATTTACAAATATGTCATTTGTAATTATAACGGATTATTAAGTATATTTACTTTAAATCATATATTGTCATTTAAAGGGTTATAATATCAAAAGTTTTTTTTCTTTATTTTAATTTATTTAATGAATAGATATTACATTTTATTGTATAATATTATAGGTATCAGAATCTCAATAATTTTTTTGATTATTCATTTTTTACAACTATAAAATAACTGTCTTTATCTAATTTTGTATGACAATGACTATAAATATGAAATGTTACATATTTTATTAAATAAAAAAGCAAGAAAGAAATGCTACATATTTTCCTCCTTATGTTGAATTCAATAATAATRATGATATTATTTTATAATCCAAAATATTTAATTCGGCGAATTAAATTTTAATAAGGTATGATATTCATGAACACAATTTTTATTTAGATATGATACGTACAATTGATTTTATTAAACTCTTTTAAAAAAACGACTTCATTAAAAGTAAAAATATGAAAATATCAATTTGTTATTTTTGAAGTTTGATATAATAAAAATTAGCTTAAAATATTCATTGAAATTTAATTTACAAAATATAGAACTATCTAAATTTAGCTTTAGTAAATAAAAATTTAAATACATCATAAAATCCACACATTTATGGAATCTAAAAGACTTGAATATGTAATCATTGTCCTAAATTTTTAAAAAATCTTGACTTTATAGAATCCCAAATGAGTTAAGAATTTAAAAAATTTTCCTTACATTTCAATTCTCTGACATTAAAAATAAAAAATAAATCTTCTTAAACCATCACGATTTGTTTGTTTGTTAAAAGAAGCAAAGATGAATTAAAAGAATTTAAGAAGGGTGAATTCAAACTCCATGATAGCTAACCTTAGAATTAATATCGTTAGTCCGGGCGCTAACGATATATATATATATATATATATACACACACACACACTGGTAGTTCCGAAAGGTAAGTCGATCCCAGATACTTAGAAAATAAGTCAGTCGCCAGGGCTAATTTGCTGAATGTACTGTAAGGACCGATCCAATGTAGGTGGTTCGAAGGAGCCCGCATGAGCAGAAAAATATCCGGATGAGACAACTATCTACCCCATTGACCGTTATAAATACACCATCATTGAGCAAACTCATGTATGAAATCTGTCTGAAGCTGATATGTTAACCACTGATTCCTAACTGACTTAGGCGTCGGAGTGGCCTACTTGTTTTGCAGGTCCCCTGAAGAACACTCCAAGTATTGCATCCCAACTTCCCAGGTTATTCTTCGTGCCTTGGCAGACTTTTGCATCAACAAAAAAAAAAACAAATATATATATATAAAGTCCTACAATTTTTCTCACCAACGTATCTGAACTCAATTTATTTTTTCCTGAGTAGCGAGCTATTTATTCTCTAATTTTAATTTCTCACCTTTTTCATTCCATGAAGTTGTATATTGGTTGGGGTGTTCACGAGTTGGGTGGGGTCGAGTTAGGAGGGATTTTGAGATCAACCCGAATTTTCGAATTGGTCATATATAGGAATCATCGGTTTGAATTGGATAGTCACCCTAACCCAATATTTTCAAGTTGGGTTGTCAGTTTGTGTTTTTTTTTATTTCTAATTATCACGACGGCGATGAGGAGTTATGATTAAAACTTAATAGACGGTTGAGATTAAGATACAAAATAAAAGAAGATAATATAAAACCCTTAAATGAAGGGCTAGAATTAACACTAAATGGATGTTTGAAATTGAAGATAAAAATATTGTTATATATATAATTAAGAAAAATATAATCTATGCATAAATTCGGGTTCAGTTGGGTTGTCCCAATTTTTTAAAGGTTGAACCCAAAACCCGACCCAACCTCATCTGGTTGGAAAAATCACAACCCAACCCGAGGCTTCATCTAACCAACGGGTCGGGTTCGTCGGATTTTTTGAACATCCCTATATATTGGTATTTTTCTAGCAATGACGAGGAAAAGCTATTTTAAGAAAGTTATGTATAGCGTTTTGATTTTCTTTTCTACTATTGTTTTCTTCTTCTTCTTTTGTAGATAGTTCTTTTCTTTTATTCAAAATATTCGTGCCAATAGGCTCACTTTTATAAGAAAATTAGCATGTTTATTAAATTACAATATTTTATTGGTAAATTTAGATTTTTTAAGTTATTAATTTTTGTTCAGTTAAACTATTTTAATAATTTAGGTGAAAAAAAACAATCAATTCATATTGAATTATTATTTTTTTTAGTATAACATATGGTATATAATTTGAACTCGCGATCTTTCAAAGAGATAGGTATCTCAACAAGTTGAATAATACTTTTTAAATTATTGTTTTTAAATTGTTCAAATCTAGTATTTTGAGCCTAATATATATTTAGTCAACTACGAAACCATTTTTTAGTCAACTTTAAAATTCATTTGATTTTTTGAGCATGATATATGTTTAGTCAACTCTGTCTAGAAAGAATCAAAGAATTTTAAAGTTTCAACTTTCAATAATGCCTTAAAACTTTTTTTTTACAACGTCATTAATGTATGGATTAAAATTGGTCCATTCATACATTTATCCCATAGTGTCAATTTAATCAAAATTTAATTACTAAAATTATTATTTTAGAAAGTCGCACGAAGGAGCATAATTAAACCTCAACTGATTAAAGCATCCCCGAGCAATTTAAATTCCGTCTAGTTATTCGAATCAATATCCATGGAGTTTCATATCAAAACCAATTGACAATGAGAAGAGTAGCCTAGGTCTATTATAAACACTTGTTAGGTCTCATATCTTACCAATATGGGATCCTTAATAGATAAGGTCTATATGATACTTCCTCCAAGCTTTACATCAATGATTTCACAATGGTTTTTCGTCTACGAAAGCCGTGGTATGGTTTATGTCAGGCTTCTCGATGTTGATTTGCCAAACTTGTGACAATTTTAAAGAGATATGATTTTTTTATCATATTCTGATTATTCTCTCTTCACTTACACTGAAGGGTTTGTTCAACTTAATATATTGGTGCATGTTAATGATTTAATAATTTATGGCAATGATTCTATTGCAGTAACATGTTTTAAAGCATATTTGAGCAAGAATTTTCATATGAAGGATCTTAGTGCTTAAATGTTTTCTTGGTATTGAGGTAGCTAGAAATACTTTAGGTCTATACTTATGCCAACGAAAATATGTTCTTGATATAATTTTGGAGGTTGGTTTGTTGGGATCCAAATCGATTTCATTTTCTCTTGAACAAAAT